GAGAGAGAGAGAGAGAAGAGAGAGAGAGAGAGAGAGAGAGAGAGAGAGAGAGAGAGAGAGAGAGAGAGAGAGAGAGAGATATTACGAGAAAAACAAGAAGAAGAGACAGAACAAAACCAAAAGGAGAACAGAACAAAACAGTTTCGAACAAAAAATTGAATTATACCCAAACAATGCACATGAAAAAAAAAGCAAGAAACAACATAATTACGGGCTATTCATGCCCGTGCCACCTCTGGGGTAGCCTAACCTTCATCAATCAATCAACAAGACGAAATAATACCGAACAAACAACAAAATACAGACAAATAACACAAACAAACACGACCGTAAGATAACAAACCATAAGCGATAACACAGATCGGGATTAACTCAAAAAATCTCACAAAACACTTATCCCCAGCAAAAAAACATTAAATCCTGACTAATCGCTAAATCCCTACCTCGCTCCTAACCCCATCCCCCCCCCCCCCTCGTAAGTTGTAATCCCTGTGGGGAATAATCCCATTAAAGCGAAATAAACTCACGGAGAATACATTTTACACCCCCCCCCTACCCCCTACACCTTATAAGGATACACACCTCAGGAACACTTGTGTGTTTCAAAGCAGATAAATGAACGAGGCTTTAAATGAACAAATCCACAAGGGCCGTGATGAGGATTCGAACCTGCGTCCGGGAGCATCCCCAGACACTGCCTTAATCGAAGCTTTGTTTAGTGTGATAAGCGGATCACTTTGTTTAGCGTGATAAGCGGATCACTTTGTTTAGCGTGATAAGCGGATCACTTTGTTTAGCGTGATAAGCGGATCACTTTGTTTAGCGTGATAAGCGGATCACTTTGTTTAGCGTGATAAGCGGATCACTTTGTTTAGCGTGATAAGCGGATCACTTTGTTCAGCGTGATAAGCGGATCACTTTGTTCAGCGTGACAAGCGGATCACTTTGTTCAGCGTGATAAGCGGATCACTTTGTTCAGCGTGATAAGCGGATCACTTTGTTCAGCGTGATAAGCGGATCACTTTGTTCAGCGTGATAAGCGGATCACTTTGTTCAGCGTGATAAGCGGATCACTTTGTTCAGCGTGATAAGCGGATCACTTTGTTCAGCGTGATAAGCGGATCACTTTGTTCAGCGTGATAAGCGGATCACTTTGTTCAGCGTGATAAGCGGATCACTTTGTTCAGCGTGATAAGCGGATCACTTTGTTTAGCGTGATAAGCGGATCACTTTGTTCAGCGTGATAAGCGGATCACTTTGTTCAGCGTGATAAGCGGATCACTTTGTTTAAGAAGACAGATAAATCTGGCTTTATCTAATAAAATAATTAATCACGACTATTTAAAATAAAACACTTATAATCAAGCAAGCAAAACAGGCTGAAACACCTTGATTTTTAATATTTAAAATTCAAAACGTTCAAAATAAACATTTATAATTAGAAGAGATATTATATATAATATATATTATGACAATGTCAGACCACGGAGGAAAAATGAAACAGGAATTTCCTTAAGTACTTTCGTATATTAATACGTCTTCAGAAGGAGTGAAGATGAAAATGACTCCTTCTGAAGATGTATTAATATACGAAAGTACTTAAGGAAATTCCTGTTTCATTTTTCCTCCGTGGTCTGACACTGTCACATTTTTAATCACGTGTTTATTTTCGTGATACACACACATAATATATATTATATACATTATATATATATAAAGTAACAAGCTAAATGGCGCGAGTTATATATTAAAAATAGTCAAACACAGCAGGGTTAAAACAGTAACAAATACAATGATCTCATTTTCCTAATCACTACCTACTGTATACTAGAGATTCAAATTAAATGAAAATTTTAATATTAAAAAGAGTCCAGAAGCATCAGCTTGATGCTAAAATGTCACTTTATTGCTCACAAATTTGATAAAAGAAGTTGTACTTACCACCAGAATGGAACCCAACCACTTGGGTTGGACGGTAGAGCGACGGTCTCACTTCATGCAGGTCGGCGTTCAATTCCCGACCGTCCACAAGTGGTTGGGCACCATTCCTTCCCATCCCAAATCCTGATCCTGACCCCCTTCCAAGTGCTATATAGTCGTAATGACTTGGCGCTTTCCCCTGATAGTTCCAGCGTATATGTGAACTTCCTGGCTCACTAACCTATTACGGGGTCACCTTAGCCCGTGCTACATGGACACTTCGTTCTCAGTAACTAAATCTAAAACGACAACACTAACCTAACTTCACCAAGCACAAGAACGGTATAAATTTTGGCGTATTGCCAGTGTGCCGGAGAACGTTCTTGTTCTCTTCCGAGGCGGAGAACGTTCTTGTTCTCTTCCGAGGCGGAGAACGTTCTTGTTCTCTTCCGAGGCGGAGAACGTTCTTGTTCTCTTCCGAGGCAGAGAACAATCTTGTTCTCCGTGCGCTGGTACCTATAGGTACCTAAGTACCTATAGCCCTATAGGTACCTATAGGTACCTATAGGCCTATAGGTACCCTATAGGCCTATAGACCTATAGGTACCTATAGGCCTATAGGTACCTATAGGTACCTAGGTACCTATACTATAAGCCACGTGGCCAGCAACTACAGCGTGGCGGGTCGCAGACAGAATGTCAACAATGAACACGTGGGGGTTTGTTTACAAAGTTCCGCGCGCTTCCCATAATGATATTATTGCTCCGGTTTGCTGAGTCAATTAATACATTTTAAATACGTTCAATTTTATAGTAGCGTCCGAGGGGTCTATCCGATCGTGAAAGTGTACTTATATAAGTTAAGCATATTGTACAATAGTTAAAAATAGTCGTTTTTGAAGATAGTCCAGTCGATTGAGCTTTGGCTTCACACGCGTGGGGTCCAGGGTTCGATACCCATATAGCCCAGGTGAAGAAGTCTCCGCTAACAACCTCTGTTCGAATCCCAACTCTTCACCCAGCCCAGCACAGCCCGTCCTCCAAACAAAGACCCAAAAGTGATTCCATCCACCCGCCAAACCCCCTGTTTATGAATGGAAACGGTTTACACACGACTCACAACTGATGACGTTCGAACACTTCCGGAACAAGTGCTTCACTGACGACTTGTGTTCGAATCACAACGCTGTAAATACTTCACCCACGTACTACAAATACAAATAATCGCCAACAGAACCTAAATACCTAACCTAACCTAACCTATGCCTATATATATGCACAATATGCTAATATATTATAATATTAATTTATATTTGAGAAAATTCCCGTTTTGAATGAACAGCATGTAAAAATTTATGAATGCGTCTGTGGGGTCGACCGCTGGATGGAATGGACTCGAGACGAGGACGGGTTGCAGTCACAATAAAAAGTCAACTGGAAAGTAATTGCTTCACCCACTACACTTCGTTAACTACACTTAACAACACTAAAGTAACCACACGAAGGTAACTCCCCCCTGCGGCTCGACACCCAGCCAGAGGCAGGAAGGTGAAGAATGACCCCTGATAAGTCCCGTGGGAGCAAAAAAGTTCCAAGTAGCACGGCCTATGGTGATCCCGTAGTGGACTTACCGGGCACAAGAGAGGGGCTATAACTCCTCCTCTTTCCTTATCGGCAGTTTTTAACCCACTACCACACCCCCGACCCCCTCAAATTCCCTTCCCCCCCCCACACAACCCCACCCCTCCCCCCACACCACAACAACCCCCCCCCACACAACCCCTCCCCTCCCCCCACACCACAACCACCCCCCCCCCCCAAACAACCCCGCGGGCCGAGGCTGCCAATTAGATTTGGTAGCTGGTAATGGCCGTCCTCAGCGCCTTGTTTACAAACATTAACCTCACGCAGAGTTCGTTAGCGGACCAAGACTTCGTTATTAATAGCGAGAGGACTGTGGTATTCATTTACCTGTCGTTAGTGCCGCGTGATCACGTTATTAACGATACCTGTCGTTAATAACGCATGGTCGGTCTCCATTTTCATGGTCATGCTAAAATGGTCTAGCATGGTCTTCAGTAAGAAGTCATATATATAAATAAAATAATATATATATATATATATATATATATATATATATATATATATATATATATATATATGTCGTACCTAACAGCCAGAACGCACTTCTCAGCCTACTATTCAAGGCCCGATTTGCCTAATAAGCCAAGTTTTCATGAATTAATGTTTTTTCGTCTACCTAACCTACCTAACCTAACCTAACCTAGCTTTTTTTTGGCTACCTAACTTAACCTTACCTATAAATATAGGTTAGGTTAGGTTAGGTAGGGTTGGTTAGGTTCGGTCATATATCTACGTTAATTTTAACTCCAATAAAAAAAAATTGACCTCATACATAGAGAAAAGGGTTGCTTTATCATTTCATAAGAAAAAAATTATAGTAAATATATTAATTCAGGAAAACTTGGCTTATTAGGCAAATCGGGCCTTGAATAGTAGGCTGAGAAGTGAGTTCTGGCTACTAGGTACGACATATATATATATATATATATATATATATGTCGTACCTAGTAGCCAGAACGCACTTCTCAGCCTACTATGCATGGCCCGATTTGCCTAATAAGCCAAGTTTTCTTGAAGTAATATATTTTCTCTAATTTTTTCTTATGAAATGATAAAGCTACCCATTTCATTCTATATGAGGTCATTTTTTTTTATTGGAGTTAAAATTAACGTAGATATATGACCGAACCTAACCAACCCTACCTAACCTAACCTAACCTATCTTTATAGGTTAGGTTAAGTTAGGTAGCCGAAAAAGTTAGGTTAGGTAAGGTTAGGTAGGTTAGGTAGTCGAAAAACAAATAATTCATGAAAACTTGGCTTATTAGGCAAATCGGGCCTTGTATAGTAGGCTGAGAAGTGCGTTCTGGCTACTAGGTACGACATATATATATATATATATATATATAATATATATATATATAATATTTGTTATAGAATCGAGAAAACATTTGTTATGGAAAATATAATATTTTTTTTTATCAAACTTCATAATTTCAACAGCGAGAAGAAATAACTTTCCAGTTCTGTAAAAAAAATAAGCATTTTGACGTTTATTAAAAAGCACTTGTAAATGATGCAAAACACCGTGTTTTAAGTTGATTGTTGGATAAATATTACAAAACCACCATATATATATATATATATATATATATATATATATATATATAATATATATATATATATATATATATATATATATATATATATATATGTCGTACCTAGTAGCCAGAACTCACTTCTCAGCCTACTATGCAAGGCCCGATTTGCCCAATAAGCCGAGTTTTCATGAATTAATTGTTTTTCGACTATCTAACCTACCTAACTTAACCTAACCTAACTTTTTCAACTACCTAACCTAACCTAACCTAAACCTATAAAGATAGGTTAGGTAGGGTTGGTTAGATTCGGTCAAATATCTACGTTAATTTTAACTCCAATAAAAAAAAATGACCTCATACATAATGAAATGGGTAGTTTTATTATTTCATAAGAAAAAAATAGAGAACATATATTAATTCAGGAAAACTTGGCTTATTAGGCAAATCGGGCCTTGCATAACAGGCCGAGTACGACGTTCTGGCTACTAGGTACAACATATATATATATATATATATATATATATATATATAATATATATATATATATATATATATATATATATGTATATATATTATATATATATATATACCTAGCAGCCAGAACGCACTTCTCAGCCTACTATGCAAGGAGGCCCGATTTGCCTAATAGGCTGAGTGATTTTCTTTATTTAAAAAAATCCAATTGGTTTATTTTAATTATTATTATTATATTAGTTAAGAACATAAATTATTGACTTAATTATGTTAGTTTAGGTTA